AGCTGAGATATAGTTGGGTCCATGGAAAAGCTCTTTGCAGATTTCTAATGCCAAAGAAAGGAAGGCAAAGCCACCCAAAGCTACGCCCACAGTGATGCAAAGGCAAAGGAAACCAAACAATTGGAGACCCAGAAGCACTGCCCAGAGCAACCAAGGCAATGTCCATCTCAACCACAGTTGTAGCTGGCCCATGCAAGGGCTAGGGAGTCAGGCACCCGGCGTACGGGCTGGTACCGAAGAAGCCGCGCCACGATCAAGCTTCCATAAGAGGAAGCAGGCTTTGAGAACGCCTTCATCGGTCTCATCCTCAGGCTCCATCTGCGGCTCAAACTTGGCCACCATGGAGTCGAAGTCACTCTGGCTCAACTTTGCAGCTTGGACTGCAGCCCACTCGGAGAGGGGCATAGATGCAACTTTGCAAAGAACTGACCTCTTGCCGAAGACGGAGGAGAAGAACTCTCTATGCTCAACCTTCGTCACATTGGAAGCATCTCCAGCGCTGTTTGGTGCGCAAGGCGTGGAAGGCCTCTTCCGCTTGGAGGAAGGCGGGACAGCCTGCTGAGCTTTCATGGTGGCAAGCTCTTCTCGCATGCTTTGGAGTTGCTCAGCCAAATGGCATTGGATCTCACTCTTGGTACTCACCTGCGACGGCTGATCTTGGGAGCGACGCTGCAAGACCTCTTTTCGAAGCTCGGAGAGGAGTTGCGCTGCATCGGCCTCAATCTGAGTTGCCTGAGGTGGCTGAGATTTGGTCATCTCTGCCCGAAGAGATGCAATCTCATCATGGAGGAGCTTGAAGCTGGCATCCTGAGCAGGAGCTGGCTCAGCACACTGGTGTGAGAGAGCCGGCGTGTTCATACCAGCAACGGGGGTCAACACCGAAGCAATGGCCTGCAACTGTTGCTGAGCAGCAATCTCACTTTGAAGCTGATTGAGCAATGATGGCAAGCTGGTGCTTTTCCCATTTCCTTTCCCTGCAGATTTCCCATAGTTGGTGAATGAGCCGAAGCGGCCGCCACCACCACGATGATTCCAAGAGGAGCCGTATCCACGCCACTGGTAGCCGGACATGACTAGCAAATGGGCCGGCTTGTGCTTGCTATAAGGTCAGGCTTGAACCAATATAGTGAAATTAATCAAATACCCAGAAGAACCAAGCAAACCAAAACCAGAGAAGTGCATCAAATAAAACTTCGAAATTCAATCGCGCCAAGTGTCAGCAATTCGCGCAAACATGGGGTTAGAGAGATGTCTGACCCAGGTGCGGCGCACATAGCTCGTAGAGAATCCACTTCTCTGCCATATATTCATACAATAAAAAAAATTGCATCGGCCAGACCATCAACATTATTATTGCAAACATTTCCTTTTCCATCCAAATAGATTTGCATCAGCCTCGCCTGCGTACCCAAGATTCTAGCCTTTGCGTTTTGAACTTCTAAACCGTGAAAGGGTTCAAGACGAAACTTCTTGGGGTGCGAGGAAGTACCAGCAATCCACTGTTCTTCAGGTTTTTGCATCGTCAGCAGTAATTCAACACCTTGAAAATGAACATCCATATCCAACCATGTTCCACAGGAAGCAGAGCTATTCTGACGTTCATACTGCACGCATGACTTCTGACAAAGACATTGGAAAAGGCATTGAGAGCACAGATATGGGCTGATAAGACAACAGTCATCTACGTATCTGCAAGCAGCAACTTGACGACGCCACAAAAGAGATGCATCCAAGCCAAACTGTACCTGTCGGTGATTGCTGTATTCCCAGGCATACTCTTCAGCGCAAAGTACAAGTGAAGTCTGGCATTTACTGAGTAGACCACCTATGGGAACACCGCGCAGCTGCCTATACACAAGGTTACCAACAGATACGAATTTTTGGCTCAAACTCAACATGTGAATAGAACGGAGCTGCTCAAAGGTCAGTAGATCTACGTTGTTGTGCTTGTGGAAGTTGTGTTTTGCCAGAAAACCATGTAGCTTGCGAGTTTTCAGCATGGCTACACCAATATACCCTGCATCCTTAGCCAGACCAATGTAGAAATCCAAGCAGGTCAGCACCAATCCAGAATCAATTGCTTCGTACATGGCGCCAGCATCAGCAACAGCGACTTCGATAGCGTGTTTCTCTGAAGAACAATTGGTGCGTTGCAGCAAGGGAGCCACAGGGTGGACAATATGTTGGAAACGCCGACGAAGCATGGTAGCAGCAGTGGACAATGAAGTGACTTCATCCCCCAGACCAAGCTTGATAATCAATATCATGGTAGCTCGGGAAACTTTCCGGAACAGATTTTTCCAACTACGTTCCATCAGACTGTAGCCAACAATCTTTCTCATACAACTGTGTGTCTCATTGCAGCATGTTCGTCGTCCAGTCACAAAGCATTTTGCTTTAACAGTTGCATACATGTACGGCAAGCTGCCCGGCACCACAGTTGGCCGCCAGCGAGGACCAAATCCCGCGCAAGCCACGCTATCAAAACAAGCTTTTTTGAATTGCCACGCATCTTCAAGACTCAAACAAGTCAGCTCCCATTTGGAGGCTTCTTTTTCAAGCAGGAAAATGACGCTAAGGCAATAGTCACGGATGGGAATGAGCCAAGCAGCCGATGGATCTTTATCTTCTGCAACCAGCACTTCATCCAATGAAGGTTGCACAAATGCATCATGCATCTTTCGGTCATGATATTGAAAAGAAGCCAACGCACTGCAAGTCAGCTGAGCACAAAGGGAATACAAATCATTCAAAACCAGCTCAAAGACCCCCAAAGGGGAGCACTTTGCAAACATGCCAAATTTCTTCATATCATCAGACATCTGTTGCCACAGCTGTCCAGCAACAATTGGCTGTCGCATCTTATGAAACAGCTTGAGCTGACGAAAGAATGTTCCATTCCAAGCACTCAATTTCTCCGCACGATCAAACCCCAACCATTTCTTACCATCCATGTTGCGAGCCACTCTGACCATGTTAAACCACCTCTTGTAAGTGACCGCAGCATCTGGAACCAATGACACCATGCTAATAACATGTTTGAAGCGCAACCGAGAGCCCGATCCAATTGAACGCCAATGGTGGTTCAAAATCTGCCAAACATCGCATGTAGCAACAGGCCAGGGAACTTTCCACACAAAAGTGCCAACTCGAGTCTCCCCAAAAAATTCGAGCAACCTATTCAAGCGAGCAACAGCTACTGATCGAAACAGTTGAGAGTGAATCATGCCAACAACTTGGGCAGCATGAAACAAAAGGTTGCGCGCAACACGCTGAGTGAGTTCCGCAAAGTCAAAGGCATGCTTTGGTCGGGAAAGAAATGCAACAAACAATAGAGGGCAAAGAAAAATGGAAAGCGGTCCAATAGCTCGTCTCATCTGAAGCTGCTTCATGTACAGCAATCGAAAAGGCATGTTGAGTGCGG